GCCGCTTTGCGTTGACAACGCCGACTTCTTTAACAGCGATTGCGGCAGCAAACCGTGGGCTCGTTTCCTCTTCGTTGCATGGAACATTCTGAGCATGTATATCTTTGTCAACCTTTTCGTTTCTCTCATCTATGAGAGCTTCAGTTACGTATACCAACGGTCTAGCGGATTGGCTGCGGTAGACCGTGATGAGATCCGGCGCTTCAAGGAGGCGTGGCGGAGCGTCGATCCTGCCGGGACCGGCTTCATCAGCAAGGACGCATTCCCCCGACTTCTAGGAGAGCTCTCTGGGGTGTTTGAAATGCGCATCTATGATGCCGACGATTCGGTCAGACAGATCCTAGAGGATGTTCGCAACGATGCCTCGACATCTGGAGCACGCCACATGTCTATAGCTTCTGCGAGTAACTACAGTGCGGGCATTGACATCCAGCGACTCAATCGGAGACTCGCACAGATTGACGTTGTCAAGGTTCGCGAGCGTCGCCGTCGGTTCAACATCTTTTTCGAGGAAGTCATGGTTTCTGCGGACCCCGACAAAGGCATTTCGTTCACTTCTGTGCTCATGATTCTGGCCCATTATAACATCATCAATGACAGCAAGAGTTTGAAGTAGGTACTTCCGCATCGAGCATAGTCACTGATCAGACTAACAATACTGCAGATTGGAAGAATTCTTGCGAAGGCGTGCTCGGCTACAGAGAGTGGAAGAGGAGGTGCGGCGCAGGGTCGTTCTTGGCTTCTTTGACACCTTGTGAGTCTCCTTGATGACTACGGACTATAGAGTTCCATGACTAATGACATCATCTCCAGGTACTGGACTCGCAAGTTCAAGAAGCACATTGACATGAGAAAGTCGGCGAGGATGACTGCTATTCCCCAGCTGGACATCCCTCACATTCTTGTTGACGATGATGATACACGCCACAAGTCCTCGCCGGTGGCAGGAACCGGACAAACGAGGTCAGCATTGCTGACAGTGGAAGACGCTCACAAATCGGCACACAATAGCTGGTCTGGACCAGGGCCGACAGATACGTCAGACGGCGATTACCAACACCCGCTCAGCTTCCCGAGATCTGGTCCTACAACGCCGAGCCACCAATCGACGCATTCTGCTTTCAGCTTTGAATTGCAAGAAGGAGGCCAGACTTCAGCTCAGAGCAGTAGAAGGGGAAGTGCTGTCACTCCACAGAGCCCTGTCAGCCCCGCACAAGTTAGCAACATGTTGGACGACTCTATTTGGCTTGAGAGTATTCGGAGAACTGCAACAGTACGGAAATCGGTCCGAAAATCCGATTGGAGTAGATAGAAGCACCAGAAAGTGGTGCGTGGTGGATTTTGTTCCTTCAGCGACGGCGTTTAGGTTTGAGATGAAGACGTGTGATCGATTCTGGGCGTGGCTCCTATACCACTTCTAAGCCACGAGAGACATGAGCACCATGAACCTTCCGTTTTTCATGTTCGATAGAAAGATAGACGAAGCAACTTGCTCATGGCTTTGGTTGGTACTTGCGGCATGATGACAGATATCCTCAACCAGGGGCTTCGTAGATTGTACGTAGGGTAGTGTAGCTAATGCGGAGGATATCATGAACACGTATTTCGTGTGAAGAAAAGTGAGCACCTATACTGTCAATCTCGCTGTCTCGATGTCATACACAAATCCTACGATCACTCTCGACTCTCGTTAGCGAGGACGGTCCATGTTAATCTAGGACGTGTCTCTGATGCACAGTCATAGTTGACTGCACTCGGGCCAGATGGATTAATGCCCCGCTTTGACGTTGTGACCAGACATGGACGCTTAGAAAGAAGAGACCAGTTTCTCGTTCATCTGAAGAAAATGGTTGCAAAGTCCATCGCAAAGGGCGATTTATTCCCAGCGACAACAGTGACGGGAACGGCATGACGTGACTGCAAATATCAACCTTACAAATTCGTACCATCTTTTGCCAGTGTAGCAGAAGACCTTCTGAAATTGAAAGCTTCTCCCTGCATTGAGAGGTTTACTCCCGTTCGTACACTTTCTCATGATTCTTTCGTCTCGGGTTCAGACATCAAAACAGCAGTGTTCGCTTGGCAGGCGTCAAAGAGAGGTTAAACTCCTTGTGCATGAACCGAGCATCAGAATAATATGGATTTCCTTCTCTGGAATTATTAAACCTTGCCCATTTCTTCTCTCAAGGACGAAGAATCCGAGGGCGGAAGCTACATGTTTCCTAGAGCATCTTATGGAAGGATTCTAGAAAGTTTCCATACTCGATGCCTTTGCACCCTGCTCCCAAAAAAATCCCTGGATAATCGAGTGCGCTCTCTAGTGACAAAGATTGAATACAAGAAGCTGGCCAGTATTAAGCCATCACTTTCAGCATATGTAATACTGGATCACGAACCGTCGACAGTGATTGAATTTGGCCCATGGCGGAATGACGGATAGATCAAGCTGCAACGGTGCCAAGAACCCGCTTTTGACATTGGGGGATGCCTCTTGGCTTCGATACCTGGCCCTAAATTCAGTAATCTTGTGTCTTGGACCTTGCCTTGAAGCCGGCAGTAGAAAGATCAGACGGGACGACATAGAAAAGAAGCTTCACCAACCGTCACTCATCGGGGTCGAACATGGTTCCGGGGGTAGGCCTCGGGGAATTGATAAAGTCCTAGTGTAAAGACGGGTCTGAGTCTCGTATTTCGTGACTTTCATGTCTCGTCTCGTCCGATGTAGGCCCTGGTCTGGTCTGGTCTGGTCTGGTCTCGTCTTGTCCGTGTCTCGTCGTCGCTTGGCACTTCCTCGTTTCATTTTCGCGAATGTTTCAATATGCCCCTCCTCTCCTACTTTGTCCGTCCTGGGCGCACAACTGGCGGTCTACTTTCTGACGGGGAGATCGGGGGCCATTGACAAGATTGAGAGAGATTTTCCTCTTGTTGCACAATTTCACTGCTTGTAGTCTTACCCAGACTCTCACTCGACACTCGTCTACACAGACCTGGGCACGATTTGCAACGATAGGCAATGGTCAGGACAGGGGTATGGTGAGGGGATACCCAGGGGTGGCCTTGTTTCCAGTGTTAGTGAGCCCATGTCCCATCACGTTATTCCTCCCCTTTCCTAGCCTTTAACCACGAGATCGACGGATGGCCCCCGAAAGAGAGGACACTTGGACCTCTGTTTTGCCGGAGGATCAGTTGGGGGATGCGACAGCAAAGCGACTAGGAGAGTGAAGACCCTGGATTTGGAGAGTTTGATGCGGGTGATGGCGTTTGTGATTCGGGTATAACTTCAAAGGAACGGACGAGCTTCCTGTTTAGTATTCAGAACAACAACACGAGGTTTGAGATGAAGAACTGACAGTAATATGACCTCTTTGATGTTACGTGTCCGCCGTACAGTGCCATGATGGAACATGTTCTCTGTAACCAGCTTCAACTCGACACCCACGGGTATCGGCAATCCCTTTTTTCCCATTTTTTTTTTTTTTCACTTCACCTGTGTCATTTACAGCGCAATGGAAGATCATATAGATAGACTGCCTCAGTCTCTCTTAGATTGATATGCCCTTTTTAGCATATAATATCGTGGGCTTATATGAGTAAGTCTCCGGGCAGGCCCAAGAATATTCCTGGCAGAGCATCGCCCCAGTGGCTCAGAGAGTTCTTCCAGAAGGCTTCGACACCCACATCACGGACTTTCCGCCGCGTTGGCAATGGCCATCCTCGTCAAGGGAAAACGCTGGTGCGAACGAGTGGCACGAACGCCGCGCTATGGCGATGAGCACGTTATGCGGTTGCGGTCAACCGTCTAGCGGTAGCCATCCACCACATAACGCACATGCCTGTCCATAGCTTGCCCTTCAACCCTCCCAGCCTTGAGGCTGAGACTTTGGGTAATGCTCGGTTCTTATTTTGGAAAAGATGGCATTATTGAAGCCTTGCACATAAGTAGCAGCGGATTATCCGGATGGAGACACACGCACGACGCTGAGGCTGAGGAGGGTGAGGTGTTTGTACGTAATCGTGGCCACTCACCAACTTGCAAGTCCCAGAACTGTCGTCAGGGTCAGCGTCAGCATCAGCGTCAGCCATGAAGCACGCATGACATCGGCAATTTCGTTGGCGGGCGCCCTTGAAACAGCCGTGCGTTCTTTGTCTGCACCGCTAGGCTGTCTGGCTGTCACTCTGTGCCCCCCCTGACGCCTTATCCAGCAGCACTAGTGTACTACCCTTCCAGTCTTCATATCTTATCAGACTCTGCTCTCCAAAGTCATTGATCCGATGTATCATCTTGGCCCCCGTGTCAGTAGAATCGTAGCGATGATGCGCGGGGAGGTACATCGAGGGATGGACGCTCACCGCCTGTGCGTTAACAGACTTTTTTGGCAGTATGGGTAGCTCTGTAAGGTAGGTAGTCGGTGGAAAGCCAAGACAAGCCAAGCCGAGAAGGCCGTTCCGTACCCGCCCGTATCCTTCCCATACTTTTACTGCAGGAACGGTACCTGAAGAGGTACGAGGAAGTCAAGGTACCCCAGGGGAAACCCATCCCTTGCTCCTGGCCCCCCTGACGACGATCACACAATGCAGCCAGTTGGGACTAACGGAGCAGGAGGCTGCTACATACCTCAGACTGCCTTGCACCGGCTCCTGGGGCATCTCTTGCACGTTACAGAGCACTCGTTGCCTCTTGCCCTCGCGTGCTGCTTCCATAAACCGCTGGTTCTTGCTCTGGATCCGTGACTGTCTCTTTTTGCTGAGTATGTAAGCCAGAATCGACAGATACTGAACCCATCTCTCGTTGAGAAGGTGGTGCGCAGGTATGGTATATGCGGCACGCCATCTCATATCTCATGTGGTCTCTCGGTCTCCCACCGGCCCCTCAGTCTTCTATCGATAGAAATCCGTAAAACAAGTCTATCATGTCAGAGAAAGACGCCGCCTCAGTGTCCATCGTAGTAGCAGTACGGATAGGATGTAATGGGTAGACACTCAATTACCGAATTCTTCATTCAAAGTTCATCCGCCAAGGAATGGACGAGCTCAACGCCAGGTTCGACATCCTCGTCCAACTTGGACCGGTCCATCGCTCCCGTCTCATAGGCTGAGTCTCAGAGCTCGTCAACTTACCCAAGACTACTCCCAAAGCATGCCGTTGCCTACGTACTCACATGCTGCCGTGCAGACAGAAGAGGCATATCTGCGCCCGTCGTCTGAACAACTTGTCTTCGAGCACCCAACACCGGTGGCATCCATGCATCTCTTCTTCCCAAGTTCCCACCGCATTGCTCGTTACCAAAAGAGGCAGCGTCCTGATGCCACACCTCGCATTGATGCCGTCTGCGTCACACCCCTGAACCTCAAGCCCGTTTCTCCATACTATGTATGCATCCTTGGTATTTGAACCCTTCTCACACTTCTTAATCCTCCGCATATCCTCGCTCCCCTGTCCACCTCCCAGTTGCCTTCCCTGCCCATCCTTTCCACCTCCCGCGGCCCCTTGTTCCCTCTCTGCCACTTCGCTTCGTCTGCGATTGATTTCCTGCCAGGGGCAATTCGCTCGTCTCAGCCAGACTACTGCTGCTGCTGAACCTAGCATACCTACTCTGCCACTAGCCTACTATTAGCCTCACGTTATTCTCCCTCCCGAGTGTCCATGTCTTCCGACACTTGATATAATTCGTCCTGTTCCCGCTGTTCACAAACCCTCTTGACCTCAGTCTACTCGACCAACCGACATTTTCAATTCTCGCCGTTCACTCGTTCATATACACTCCAGGCTGAGCCTCCAATATCCGATATCTACACCCACATTCCTCAGTGTTGTCATCGAACTTGCACACTGTCACCTCCCACTCTCTCGGTACCACCCACATCCACCAAGCTTTAGACGTACCAAGGTGTCGGAAACGTCTCCTTCTCGTTCAAAATGCAGTCCTCCCGCTTCCAGTCCATCACCTCCCGCTTCTCTCCGAGCACACTCAGAACCACCTTCCGCCGCTCGTCATCAGCATCATCCCGTGCCAGCAGCGACCGAGGCTCCTTTGCTACCACGGCATCGTCTCCCGTCAGCACAATCAACAGCATTGTCTTCCGTCAGCCCTCGATGCTTGACCTCGAGGAAGAGCGCAAGAGCTTTGGAAGCGAGCTCAGCATCCTTGAGCCACGCCCTGTTCTCTACTTTGGCAGCGTCGAGGAACGTATTGGATCACTATAAGCGCCAATATCACACTTTGGTCACATGTTTTTACGAACGGCGAAGACGATGGACTTTCGACACGCCATTATGTTTATGAGCCCCGGAGCTCTTGGGTCTGAATCAGATTAGACGGGGATTTGTTTTCAATGGGAAAGCTTGGAAACACAGGCGGCGTTTAGGAGTTTGGCTCCTGATGGACAAGCCTAGAACAGGCGTCCTGGGAGCCACTGATTTCTTTTACTGGCTGGAGGCCAGATTACCACTGTCAAGATATCGCCATGATGCGATTATGATAGAGAGAAGCAGCTTTAAAAGCGACGCAACATATTTACCGTCATTTTTCATTTCTTCAAATCGAGACAAATGACAAGCAAGCACAGTGGTCTGGCAAAACCCTCAGTGAATATGTGAATGAAGCCGACAGCGTTCGATTTGACGCTTGGTACGTTACGCCCAATGTTAGTGGCACCGTCTGATTCACCATTGGGGACAACCTGCAGCGAGATAATACCGTTACCATAAAGAGATCTTCATGGCGCTCCTTTAGCAGCCCACCAACCTAGCATGTTACTTACTAGCAGTGCCAGCATTGTTCCAGGGCAGAGGAGCGACTGGTACATTTACTTGATCAAACAAAGAAAAGCCAAGGCGACAGTTCCATCGCCTCAACGTCAGCGACTAGCGCAAGTCGGCAACACCTGCGGGAACCCTCAATCAAAACGGGCCGCCCGTCCTAACATCAATGCGAAACAGGCTATTTCGATACGCTTTCACGCTTGCCCAAAAGTCGTGAGCTGTTGAGCTAAGGTATTCAAAGCAAAAGACACCTAGACAAGCAAGTTGGAACACACAAAAAGTCTTTGCTCGGAAAGAAGAACAAATGTCCCAAAATACACTCTCGGGCGATGACCCCGTTCCAAAGGTGTGGTGGATCATGGTGGGTGGCAACAGCCTCGCATCATCCCCATCTTGGAACCGATTTCTCTCCATGGCAGCCGAACGTAACAAGGTAGGTCGGGATGCAAAGAAAGAGAAGAAGGAATTCAAGGAGGCCCAGAAAGTTGCGAAAGAAGAGCTTGAAAGAGCCAAGAAGACGTATAAGGAGACATTCGCCGGCGGAGTGACGGCCTGGAGGGAGCGAGGCCGTGGAGCGGAAACCACTGCTAACGGAACCGGAACTGGGACCGGTCCAGATCCCGAGCAGCGCACCGAGGAGACGATGACTACTGGACAAAACAGGCCTGACGGAGATGGCTGAGCTTCTATGAGCTTGGCTTGATAGCATGACCGGGTCAACACAGGGCGCCGCTGTTGCTACACGGGATGGTATATAGTTGTGATCGAAAGACTTGGACAGGGGACATGATCAGAAATGAAGCTGCGGTATCTTGGGAGAATGTGCCGGAGGTCGGCAACTCAACATGAATAGCTCTATGATACAAATACTATGACATACATTTACAGCAGGGGCATCGAGTTTCGTTTCAGGCTCGGTAAATGTCTGTTCGCGTCCGTCGCGTCCGTCTACAGTCGGATCTCGTCGATGGACTAGCATGACTTATGAGGCCTTGCTTCTTCTCTTGCCCATGTTGCGTACTCTGGGCTCGACAACCCACTTGTTGAAGTTGTGCTTGCGACGGGTCTTGAAGCCGCCCTTGGCCTGTAGGATGTGTGTATTAGTAGCTGCGAGAGTATGAAGGGCAGTAGGGAGAAACGTACGGGAGTGCCCCATGGACTGGTAGGGTGGCGGTTACCCTTGGACTTACCACGACCACCACCGTGAGGGTGATCGACTGTCACACGATTGTTAGCGTTTCCAATACGTAGAGTCAAGGTTGGATACACGTACCGGAGTTCATGGCAAGACCACGAACCGTGGGGCGAATGTTGAGCCATCTGCTTCGTCCGGCTTTGCCCAATTGTCTGTACTGGTGGTGGGGGTTGCTAGCGACTCCAATCGTTGCGCAGGCGTCTTTACTGACTCTGCGAATCTCGCCGCTCTGAAGACGAACGTTGATGTACTTGCCCGTAACAACCTTGGTACCGTCGTCCCTGGTCTCTTCCTCCTTGGAAACCAAGATTGCGTAGGTACCAGCACTGCGACAGAATACAGCACCGCCCTTGGCTCTCGAGCCGACGTTGAAGATAACAGTACCGACAGGAATCATGTGCATGGGCAAGCAGTTGCCTCTCCAGGCCGTTTTGGCTGCCAAAATACCGGGATCGACGACGCCTCCCATGCTGTCAAGAAGGTCCTTGGGAATACCGGAACGGTAGCTGTGGACGACGTCGCCGGCACGCATACCCTCGGCAGCAACGATGTAGCTCTTGCGCCCGGTAGACTTGTTCGAGAGCAGCGCAATGTGAGCACTTCGACCTGGGTCGTACTCGATGCGATCGACCAGATGCGGACCAGCCTGCCAGCGCTCAAAATCAACGGTTCGTATCCTCCTCTTCGCGCCACCTCCGTGATGTCTGACGGTGATCCTTCCAGAGTTGTTACGACCTCCCTTGCCGTGGCCCTTCTTGGGGTAGGTCAGTGGCAGGAAGGGTCGGCCCTTCCACAGGTGATCGTTGATCGGACGCTTCAGATGACGGACACCGGGTGTTCGCGGCTTGTAGGTGCGCATAATGACGGAGTCATTGTTTGCTTTCTCGATGGTGGGGGCAGTTGCGGCAGGCTCGCTGGATTTCGTGGCGGGCTTCTCGACGGACTTCTTCCTCGTGGCAGTGGCATATTGTCGAATCGCAAGCCCACGAAAGGCGGTCGAACCGAGGAGACTTGCGCAGCTCCTCTGAGCCGACAAGAGCATCATAGAGCGCGACATATTGGCATCGATATGCGGTTATGAGTCCAAGTGAAGGCTCCCTTTTCTCGGGTCGGTTGGTTACGTTCAGGAGAAGCTGGACAGGCGCAGCATATCGCGTAAAGGGACGGGTTCGGTCGGGGTGTAGCGGCTGCAGGATAGCGAAGACAACCCTGAGATAGGTCTCAATTGCTCAATTGAGCCCAGAACTATCCAAATCCGACCCTAATTGCTGTCGGGATACTCGTTGGGTGGGAATACAGTCCCTGTTGTCGTGATGGCTGAAGCGGCTCTCTTAGGTACGCTTGAGGCCAGTGCAGATTTCGAGCTTGAGGAAATAATTATTCTGCCGGCGCCGATGAACTGACGGCCAGGAATGGAAGCCCAGCCATTGGCGGTACGTACTGCAGGGACAAAAGCTTCAGCCACATTTAGTGGACATGAGTGGCTGAACCCTCGGGTCAAGCCTCAGACGCCTCGACACGACCAGGCAGGCCGCCTCTGGAAGCGTGACGGGACGTGGTCGGGAAGGCAGCCAATGGTGCTCTGGTTGCCCCGCGGTTGCTGCTGTTGATTGCTATTGTGACCGGGGTAACTCTCCATTTTCCACGTCTTTTTTTGCAGTCTTCTCCATCAGCCAGCAGACCTTCTTTCGCGTGCAGCCGGGGCAATCGCGTATCCACCCTTACACTGCTTCCACTCTCGCTTGGCTACCACCACGATTCTCGAACTTCCTCATAAGCCTACGATTATCTCCGGGTTCAGGCACTTTGATATTCCTGCTGCTCTTTTCGAGGTATCTTCAATCTCGCCCCAGGCAGCCGACAACAGATACACATTCTCACTCCCGTCACCGCTCAAGCTGCTGCTCCATCCCCAAGACAGCTTCTTATTCACTTTACCACAATCGAAACTATCACCACGGAATCATCCTTCTTGTCGTATACCGCACACATCCACCTTTTCACCTGCATTCCATCCGACCTGCTCGTCATAGCCAGCACTGCCAGGCCCTCCTCTATTTGAATCACTCACGCCAGTGAATCTCTTCGATTCACTACCTTCAACCGCCACACACGCCCAGAGCTAGATATATCTGTCTAGCCCAGCTGTCCGGCCCTCATATTCCTCACCTGTTGCACACAAAGAAACCGAATTCTCTTATGAGATTTCACTGAGTCGCGACTACATCCTCAGCCATCGTTCACGACAAAGACACCCCCGACGCGACTTTTCCTTTAGCGAGAGTCAAGAAGCCACTCCCTGTCTGCCGTTCGCGTGTGCACCAACTGCACGCCTGTCTGCTTCAGATACGCTACTGTGGTGACCAAACCAGGGCCACCGCGAGCCGCGACTTGAAAAATCGGTACGTACCTCCCAAAGCTGGCGGCTCTGGTCCCATTCACAATACGGTACCCACTGCATACCACATCACGTCCATTCGTTCCCACTACCTCAGCAAAACACATCACACATTGATTGTCCTTTCACCTCCTCCCACATAAACAACCTCAGTTTTGCCCAAAGCCCAATCTCCTAATACCTCTACCTCTACCTCTGTATTGCAACCCCCTCCTTGGCCTCAGCATCTTTGCATCTTTGTCAATTGGCTTCCGGGACGCGACTGATCTCGCCCATCAAGTGTTTGGCGTCGAGCTTGAGCAAGCGTTTTGCCCGCGTTCGAGTCGCCCGTCATCATCATTCCCCAAGGTATGCATGTCTCGACCTTGCTCGCCTCTTTCCATTGCCGCGCTCTTCCTCTTCCTCTCCCTCCAAGCACTCGAGTTGCTTTATCCTATGCTGTCTCTGCTTGTAACCTAACCTTTGAGGTGGCACCGGCATCTCGACGCGTCCCAATGCTAACCTTGACCTCAAAGAATCCTATACCTCAGATACTCAACTTGACATAATCAGTTGACAAGATGCCCGTAAGTCTACTCGTCAATGCTTGTTCTTGCAACACGTTTAGTAAGCTCTCGTCGCGTCGATATCGTGCTCACCCTTTCCTTCAGGTTACCCGTCCGGCGCGTGCAACACGCCTCGTTTCGAACGAGAACGATGAGAACAGCGGAACCACGCGCATGACGCGTGCCAAAGCAGCTGCACTAAGCGTTGACGAGCTCGCTGTCCCAGGAAAGGCTCTCGCCACTAAGAAGTCTGCAACCAACGCGATCCCGGCAGCTCAACGAACCAAACGCGCCGCCCTCGGCGACGTCAGCAACGTCAACAAGCCAGATGCTGGCGCAGGCAAGAAGCCTACCGGCAAGGTCGGCCTCGTCTCCAAGGCTGAGAAGCCTACCGGAATCACCAAGAAGTCTACCAGCACCACCAGATCTGTGGCACCCAGAGAGAAGAAGGACAAGGCACCCGGCTCAGGATCGGGCGCAATCTCAAAGAGAAAGGTCACGACCAAGGTCATCAAGGAGGAGAAGGAGATCTCTCTGGACGACAGCGAACCTATGCGCAAGAAGCCAGCTACCGAGAGCCGAACCAAGCCCGACCAGGAGAACGTCAAGAGCCAGACTCCAGTCGAGTCTGAGCCCGTTAATGCCAACAAGCCCTTCGTCTACCCCAAGAATGTCACCAACCTGGACGAGGAGGATCTGGACGACCCGTTGATGGTGGCCGAGTATGCCAATGAGATATTTGAGTATCTCAAGGATTTGGAGTGCAACTCCATTCCCAACCCCAACTACATGGAGCACCAAGACGACTTGGAGTGGAAGACGCGCGGAATTCTAGTCGATTGGTTGATTGAGGTGCACACGCGCTTCCACCTCCTCCCTGAGACTCTCTTCCTGGCCATCAACATCATTGACCGCTTCCTCTCGGAAAAGGTCGTGCAGCTCGACCGCCTGCAGCTTGTTGGCATTACCGCTATGTTCATCGCCTCCAAGTACGAGGAAGTTTTGTCGCCTCACGTCGCCAACTTTCGTCATGTTGCCGATGATGGATTTAGCGAGGCTGAGATCCTTAGCGCCGAGCGATTCGTTCTCGGAACCCTGAACTATGATCTGAGCTACCCCAACCCTATGAACTTCCTGCGTCGCATCAGCAAGGCCGACAACTACGACATTCAGTGCCGTACTATCGGCAAGTACCTGATGGAGATCAGCCTCCTGGATCACCGTTTCATGGCCTACCGTCCCAGCCATGTCGCCGCCGGCGCTATGTACCTGGCCCGCCTCATCCTGGACCGTGGTGACTGGGTATGTAACATGGATCGTAGCAAAGTGGGCTAGTTGACTGACAATCTGACAGGATGACACCATCGCATTCTATGCTGGCTACAACGAAGAGGAGATTGAGCCCGTTGTTCGCCTCATGGTGGACTATCTTGCCCGCCCGGTCGTCCATGAGGCCTTCTTCAAGAAGTATGCGAGCAAGAAGTTCCTCAAGGGTGAGCACCTCCTTGGCCTCGTGCCTCATTTCGTTGCTGACATTTGTGTAGCCTCCATCCTTACCCGCCAATGGGCGAAGAAGAGTGCTCCTCACTTCGGCATTGTCGATGTTCATCTCTCCCTGGACCAGATCTCAAACAAGGAAGACGAGCACTATCCTGAGGAAGAAGAGGAAGAGGAAGCCAATTATTAGCCATCCTGTGCCGAATAATTGGATCATCTTCTGCGTTTACGGCCACTTTTACGAATGCATACATCGGCGACACGCACCTCTATAGGTGCAGCAGTCATCCTTGTCGCGCTACCCCAGGTTCTTGATATTAGCCCTCACGGGCTCGCGGGGGGAAGGCGATTGGGCTTATTCTTTTTCTCTGGGTTAGATTGTGTCCAGACTCATCTGTCAGATATGGGCAGCTGTTTTGTGTTGCTTTGTTTTTGTGGGTTTATATTTTCCATCGCATTGGGACTTCGTTGCTCTTGTCTCATGAACGGCGCATGGAGTCAGGACAAGGATATCACGAAAGCGGACGGTTTGGCTGGAGTTCGTTGACTCTGTCTTCCACTGGGCTGGCAAGACATGGAATTCACTATTTTTGTGTGTTAAGGCATGGCTGGCCTACAAGTGAGGGTATCTTGTCGTCGTCTAATCATTGCTCCCGTTTGGAGTGTTTTGATGATGCGCAATGAGGGAAGGCAAACATACCATACATCAGGGGCGGGAGTGGGGGCTGGCTTATCGCCAACGGCATCGTGAAAAAAACCTGTACATACATCTGTTCGGACAATCGGGTTCAGGGAGGGCTGAATACATTGCATTGCTTTTTTCTGTTCGACATCATAGGAGTCATCATGAGCTCACGTGTCTATCTATTTGCTATGTCGCCAGTGAGCTCTTGGATACGGTATGCATCCACGGCGGAGGGTCAAACACACTCATACTACCACAGTGCCACACCCGTGAGATGACTTAGTCGAGCCTGTTCAAGTAAACTGATTGGCGTTCATTCATATTCGACGTCTCTGAAGGGGGAAGGAGGGCCATGGTCTTCAATTTTACTCAGTGTCAAAGCCACAAGTTATTTTGCAAAGAGAAAAGTATTATTCAACAAGAACTATGTAACACTAGATAATATACACTATATTACGATTTGATATAGACTCCCAAACGAGGCGATTGTTCGGTAGACACGAACATCATCGAGCAGCTATCCTGAGGAGGGCACGAATCTTACACTCTTCAAAATCTGTCGACACGCCTGGAGAGCTTAACCAAGGGTGGTGCGCGCATCCGTTCGGTACCAGTTGGCCTTGGGATCGCCGAGGCACTCGCCAATGGTGACCATGTTCTTGCCCTTGAACTTTTGGAGCGTGAACTCTGTGAGGTTGTAAACGGTCTGGTAGTGGATGTCGTGGCCGATGACGAGGAAGTTGTCGCTGGCCGCAGGCTTGGCGGCGATGGCCTTGGTGACAATGTCCTTGGACTGCTGGATCTCCGTGGCGCTATCGTGGAGGTAGTCGGCGGTGTCGAGGTCGAAGTAGATGATGGAGTAGCCGAGTGCCTTCATATCGCCCTCGCAGCCGCAGGCGGCTGTGCAGGAGGAGTAAGGGGGTCTTTTTGGGGGGGAAGAAGATGAGTGTCAGTCGGGCTTTCTCGCAGGGTTGGGCGATGGGGTTGCTTTTATACCTCATGTAAGTAGGGAAGACGCCGATGATGTTACGGACAGCCATCTCGAGCTTGTACATCTCATTCTTGCGCTGCGCCGAGGTGATGTTGCACTGGTGACTCAAAGTCAGTAAACCCATCGACGAGAAGACTGACCCTTGGCAAGAATACATACCAGATCAGCATGGGACCAAGTGTGGCTGGCAATTTGGTGACCTTCGGAGTACATGCGCCTGTCGCTCGATGTTAGCCAAAAAAAAGCTCCCAGAGCCTTGCTGGACAGCAAAGTCGTCATACTTGATGGTATTGGCCCAGGGGAAAGTGGTATTGTCGATTTCACCCTTTGCGTTGTTGATGCCAGTGATCATGAATGTGGCCGAGGCATTGTACTTTTTCAAGAGATCCAACAGGTCGTTTGTGTACGCGGCCGGGCCATCGTCGTAAGTCAGGGCAACGTCGCCGGGCTTAACGCAGCTGTATACACCAGGACCGCCGTACTCGACCGAGCCGAGCTTGGGACGGGCAATGCTGGAGGTGTTCTGACCAGGAGGAATCTTGTTGGCATCGCATGCCGGGCCATACTGGAACAAGCAGTCGGGAGCCTTGCAGTGCTCTACATTTATGTTAGGGTATTTATCCAAACCGACATGACACGAAATTCAATTACCAGCAGTTGTTCCGCAGAATCTGGTATGATGTTAGCAACACAGGCACACAGTTCAAGATTGGGTTGTTTGTTCACTAACCCTGCAGCAGAGCAGCACTCGTTCGCGGCGCACTTGGCGTTCCCGTTGTCGGGGCCGCAGACCCCTGACCCGGAGTCTCCGCCATCACCACCGCCTGCCGGCGGGCTGCCGTCGTTTGTGCAAGTCCCGAACCCAGTCTGGCAGCCATTGGTTGCCAGACAGTAGTCGTTGGTCGAACCGCACCAGCCGTTGACGGAGCAGCAGGGTAGATCCGTCGGGCAAGAGTAACCCGCCGCGCTACCCCCGTTACCAGTCTTTCCGCATGAGTTATCGGGAGAGACGTTGACTGCCACTGCGGTGCTGCTGGGACTGCTGACTGGTGCCTTGCTAGCGCTCGCTGATGCTTTGCTGCTGCTTGCCACCGCCGGTGCCTTGCTGCTACTCGTCGTTCCCTTACACGTACCAAAGCCGGTCTGGCAACCGTTGGCGGGCAAGCAGTAGGCGTCAGTAGAGCCGCACCAGCCATTGACCGAACAGCATGGCAATTTCGTAGGGCAGGTGTACGCCTTGGAGCTACCTCCGTTTCCAGTCTTTCCACATGAGTTATCTGGGGAGACGGCCCGGATGCCGAGGGGAGGCGAGGCCACAGCCGTTCCGGCGAGGGCGAGCACGAGGAGCTCGAGAATAGACATGTTGAGCTGTTAGTCGACAAGTAACAGGGCACAGTCCCAAAGAGCCAAGAAGAACGAGCGTGGTGTGGAGAAGAGCGAGTGAATGTCAACCAGATCAAGCCAAGAAATGCGGCGATGGGAGACGATTTAAGAACATCGAGCCATTGCCCCTAAAAGCCCCTAAAAGAAAGCTGTGAAAAACGCGAATCACCAAAACGGTGAACCGTGAGATCCTTCTAGAGGCTCGAGATGGGACTATCTTTGTCATGGCGCGGTAGTAAAGGGGCCCCGCTGCTGTGTTTGAGAATCAGTTCAATGTCAGGGTCGACTACTTTTGGGTCGCCAAACTACCATCGGTTGCTACGTCGTATGAAATGGTGGCGTTTTCAGAGTTGTGGATGGCTCTAGTTCCACAGAGACTCCTGGTGCCGTTGCAGAGAGATGGAAGACCAAAATGGGCATAGCGACGTGCGGGCGAGAATAGGGGGCTTTGACCGAAACAGGCTGCTTTTACGATGTAGGATGCGGCTAGCGGATGCTCCCTCGAGGACCGTGTGTCGACGAGGCCAGAGTTGCTCGGAAACAACCTAATGCTACCCTAGCCTGCGTGTGGTAGACTGGAGCTGAGAAACAGCCCTGAGGCATCATTGAGACAAATCGCGAACCATCATGATAGATGTTGTGCGCTAGCTGAACGTCAATATCACTGACCGAAGACTTGGCGATGAGAATTGAATAACATCACCACGGGCTGTTGACGATATCTGAAGACGCAAAATTATCGACCCTATTTGGTGCTTGATCGCTGATCACAAATCCGAGCCAACTGAGCGGATTACCACTTGGATCCGAACCTTTGTGGCGGTGGCCGTTCAGAAGCTAGATTGCATTGCGGCAGGTGAATGATAGAGCCCGTGTACGAGGGCTGATTTTGTTTTGGTGTTTTGATATCTCCAACGCTGAAAGCCGACAATTGTGGCGAATTCGGGTCGAGGGTCTCCGGAAACCGATATCCCAAAGCAATGTTCCGGCCGAGCTACGGCAGAAGCGGGGCCGCAAGCATTACACTTTGCCCCGAAAACATCTTTTGGTGCTGTGACTTGACGAATAAACATGGCCGACTGCGAACCTTGTTCCAGTTGCACCTGTGTTTATAGGATGTATGCAGTGATGGTGAGGCTGCTCCTGCTTAGGGTAGCCAAGTGCTGGCGAATGACGACTCATCGCTGCCATCTCAAAAACTCGGAGAATTAATTGCCCTCAGCCGCAGCTTGACCCTGTCTCCGACGGGATGTTGGCTGAATCCGTTCCCATCTCAGGGGTGGCAGCCATTTGGAAACATGAGCGAGGGTCATTGGGCCTCCAGGTCGATAGGCATGGTTCGGGATCTGCAGAGCCAATGAAGCACCCTAAACGGTGTGGGACAAGGGATTAATTTGGCGTTCCCAGTCTGGAGGCGTCATGGGGATAGGTATGCTGCGTCGCAGGAGCAGAAAACATTTTGAGTTGTATTTCATACAGAGCGCGTTCTTTGACCCTGAAGTCCTGATCAAGTTCTCAGTTCATTTGAACAAATGAACAGAGTAGATTTTACTTGGGTATATATTTTCGCCCGCCGTGACAATGTACTTTGGGTTGCTGTAGCGATCGTCTGCAAGAAACTGATTAGTGGCGATTGAACACCTTTCCCATCCTTTGCATCGGTGCCCGAGACTCCCGCGGAGCATTTATTAGCTGCCACAACGCAGTGGAGGAAAAACTTGATAGCAATGTTGTGGTGCCAGGCTAGTTTATGGCGGCCAAATAGAGGCCGTGAGCAGTAAAATATGGAGAAACCATACCCGTATTTCGATTTTTGTTAGCAATGTCTTCTGAAATGTGCCTTCGGCTTAAGCGGGCTGAGCTGTGGCATTGGGTAGAGGCCACGCGTTTGGAAAATTGACGAAGGTGTCGACGTGCCGGTCTGCCGATGATCCCGGGCCATGGTCGGGACCAAGATGGAACAGGCGAGCAGACAAGGCCGTTGTGCGACGAGAAACGAGAGTCGTGAGTCGTGCTGGCTGGCTGGATAAGACGACGTTAGGAAATAGGTTGGAATGTAGGTATGCTACCCTGGAATCTCTTAGGAATACCTATGTAGTCGCAGGCGACGTACCTAGGTGTTTCTCTGTCAGTTGAACGCTCAGTCAATAGACTTAACGACTCTAAGTACCTTATTATCGTAAAAACTTAATTCTTATAAGTTATAAATACTAAAATATAATTTTAATAAAATAATATAATACTTATTTAGTACTTAAATTAAAATACTGTTTTAAACTTATAATAAAAAATAATTATATTACTTTTATTAAAATTTATAATTAATATTATAATTTTAATTATAATAGTTTTACTATAATAATTATAAAATCTAATTATAAATCCTTAATACTTTTTTAAAAAATATAAAAACTTTTAAATTAAGTTATAGGTATTTTTTTAAAAAATATTAAACTTATTATTATTTATTATTATATTTAAAATAAAAAATAATAAATTAAATACTATTTTTATTAATTTTATTTAATTTAATTATAGTTTTTTAAATAATAACATTACTTATTTCATATTAAAATATTATTTAAATAAAAAATGAGCTTTTATTTATTAATATTATTAAAAATAATTATTATAACTTATTTTAGTATAACTATTTTATTAAAAATAACATTTATTAAATTAATATAAATAATTAAAATAAATATATAATTATCTTATTTATATTTATTATTATTTTAAAACTTTATCTTTTTAATAATAAATAAACATAATAATTAACTAATTTTTAATATTTTTAATATGAAATTATTTTATTATTATTAAAGTAATAATTATAATAATTTTTAATAAAAAAAAAGTTAAAAAAAAAGAAAAAAGAGAAAGAAGCTAAGGGTAAATAATACGGAATTTTAATAGCAGGGTAGCGTTTATATATACTGTGGTAATTCTCTAATAATACAAAACGATCGAGTTAAATAGTGGGACTTAACGACTCGTTGTGGAAACAAGTGTCAGCTGTGATCGTGTGTAGATGGATGTGTGTGCCAGTGGCCGGTCAGTGGTTGGTAATTGAAGATGGAGTGACGGCGCATGCTTGGCACATTTGTGGCATAGAGCAAGGAATTGGTGCACAATCTTCTGTCCTTGGTCTGTAGTGTACAGTGGTTCATAGAAACCTAGACCTAACATGGTCAATGATCAGAGCAAAAGAACGCAGTGCGACGGGCAGGTTAAAGTGGCAGGTTGATGAAAGTGAAGCTGACGAGACTCTTGGCAGAGTCAGAAGTGACAGGATTCAGTCGATTGACTGCTTTTTGTGATCCACAGTGCCGAGACCCAAGCCACCCTCGCCGGTGCATCGTGCATCTTGTGGTACGTACTGCCTTAGCTAAGGTAAGCGAAAGGGGCTCGTTAAGTTCCTTACTTCGCAACGGGAACACGGGAAGCAGGCGCACAGGTCGGTCTGGGTCTGGCGTGAAGTCTCAGATGGGGCTTCCATTCTCACCTCCGCAACGGGAATGGAAACCAGAGGTACCTTGCAAGTATCCGCCAGGCACAGCCTTACCAAGTACCTACCTTAGGTATGTTGCTTCCTTCCCTTCCCTTTTCCTCCCTCTATTACCTAGTGAAAGAAGTCGCACAGGACACAAGTACACAGGGCAGGCCAGATGGGCTCCCTCAGGCGCTTTCTCAAACACTTAAGAGACTCGGGATTGGTCATTCGAGTCAAAAATGGCTGGGGCTGCCGTGACCTCTTTGCCCTTTCCCATCTTCGTTCTTCTTTCGGCTCTTCACGCAATGCGTAAAGCGCAACATATGGTAACCATACGTGCTACTAAAGTGTACCGCCCCTCGGGTTCTGGTTAACGTTGGTGATGAAATGGCAGGGTTGTCGCAACGAGTCCGCGGGATCCTAAGCTGCCAGATTAGCCGAGTGAGGAAAAGAGCCATATACTAACCGCACAGCTACGTCAAATGGCTCGGCCATGCTGTGTTAGCCTGTACTCTGTAGTCTCTGTTGGCTTCGTCCAAGCCCAAAAATACATTAGATGCGATGGTCCATGATCGGCTGCGCCTGCACCAGGGGACTTCCTTCATCTGTTGCCTGTTGGCGTAGCTCAAGCTCGTGCTCACCTTCAGCATTCATGCATTGCGCTGTCAGCCATCTGCAGACCCCATAATGCCCATCAAAGTTTAGACGTGTACGGATGAACGACCCCTAACGCAGTCGATATTGCCAATTATCTTTTTCGCCATGCTTCATTTCTCTGACGGCTCATGAGCTGCACGATTATTGATGCCCTTGGCTAGACTGGCTGGCTGCTCAATGTTAAGGTTGCGTTGCCGCTGATAGATGTACCTCAATGTACTCCGTATCACGTTAGCCAACAGCTCCTCTTGAATCGCCCCAAACTATTACCGCCGCCGCCGTCTCGAGCACTGCCACGCGACTGCTTACTCCGTTTGTTTCGGCACCCTCCTACCCTGTCGTCGACTTCAAAGTGCTTCCGTCCCTTCCACCTTCTTCATCTCTCGACAGCTCCCACGTCTCCTTAGTCCTGAGCCCTGAGTGTACGAGTACCTGACAGCTCGACTTCGCTTCATATTTTCTCAAAACGTCTCCGCGTATTCAATTGCCATCGGGGTTTCTACAATCCGTAACCTGACATCCACTGCCCTTCTTCGCCAGAGACAAGATCAGCCAGTAGACCAAATATACATCACTACATGTACTGTGCCACTACGCTTGGCGCGTTCTCAGGTCCCTTACACGTACCTTACACTACACATTATTCAAACATCAAACAAGTCGCCGGCCCCTCGTGTCTTGTTGCCGTTTCTGCACTTCTCTCTTTACTCGCGCCGGCCGACCTTTACCTTTTTCACTCTCACATCGCGACTCAGACCCGACTCACTTTCACCTTGGCCTGATAATTTTATCAGCCCGATATTTGCCCCTGCCTTTCGCTCTCCTCCTCACTCACATCTCACCCTAGATACCTCTCCGCGAGGTACCGCAGCCCCCGGCCAGCCACCACCCAGGTGCCGTATCCGCGCGCACTATTCACTACGCCATCATCGTCGCCGTGCGGATCCTTTCCCCATTCCTAACCCCATAACACTAAAACTCTCTTTCCCTCTGCCCATACAGATACGCCTGCTGCCTTTCATTCACCTGAAGTAGCTTGGAGCCACCTCCCTTCGGATTCGGATGACCTCCTTCTCCTCCCCCAACTACTTGCCTTTTTCTTCTCTCCCCTTACCCTTCACCTCATGTCCTCGTCCATTCCTCTCGCAAACTTGTCGCCCTCGTCGAGGCCCTCGTACTACAAGATGCCCGAATCACCAGCGCCTTACTCCAGGCGCCGTCCGCATCGCGGCCACTGGACTCCCTCGCTAATTGGATCATACGTCTTCGACTGGCTTGTCCTCGCCGTTGTCGGCGGCATTGCCACTGTATTGGGCATCGTCGAGCCGAACAAGCGTCCTTTTTCTGTCCTCGACCCCAATATCTCGTAAGACACTAGAATCGCCGCTTAACGCCCCTTCTTCTACCGCATCTTGCTAACCCAAAGTCCAACAGCTTCCCGTTCACCCACCACGAGACCGTGCCTATGTGGCTAGCCGCCATCATTGCTGTCGCTGGCCCCATCATCGTCATCGCTGCCGTGTGCCTCATCCTCGTCCCCGGAAATACTGTTCCTAAGGGAACCCCCAAGTCTCTCATCTGGAAACGGAAGCTGTGGGAATTACACGTTGGATATCTCGGTCTTGCTCTCGCTCATGTTGGCGCCTTCTTCATCACCAACGGCATGAAGAACATGTTCGGTAAACCACGACCCGATCTTCTTTCTCGATGCCAGCCCGACCTGGCCAACATACAGAAGTACATCGTTGGTGGCACATCCGCCAACATTACCGGCTTAACAGGTGCGGCAGGCTTTGGCCAGCTTGTGTCTGCAGCCATTTGCACAAATACCGATTCGCACACGCTCAACGACGGCTTCCGCAGCTACCCGTCTGGTCACTCGAGCTCCGCCGCCGCCGGTCTGATCTACCTGTCTCTGTTCCTCGCCAGCAAGTTCGCCGTTACCCTACCGTTCGTGGCTTCAGACAATGGTGCCGATTCCCACTCGGCTTTCCCATCTCGCATCAAGAAGGCTGGATCCGGTTATGAGGAGGTCGGACTCGGCGAAAGCGGATCGCTCAACCCCGATTCCGCCACTGCAGCCAGGAACTTGGCTGAGCATAACAAGGTCGTCACGGCTGTCCGTCGACAAGCTGCCGCCCCTCCGATCTATCTCCTGACCATCGTCGTCATACCTTGGTTCGCTTCCATCTTTATTGCTGGCTCCCGCTGGTTTGACTTCCGCCATCACGGTTTTGACATTCTTTTCGGCTACATGATTGGCATTTTTACATCCATCTTCGCCTTCCGCTACTACCACCTTCCGATCACTCAGGGTGCTGGCTGGGCCTGGGGTCCTCGCAGCCACGATAAAGCTTGGTGGTCTGGCGTTGGCTCGTACAGTTACGCGACTGACAAAGGAGACTTTATTCGGCCTGGCGATGAGGAAGAGGCATATGTGTCGAGACCAGTCATTGGTCAAGCAACATCAACGCAGTACATGGGCAAGCAAAGCTCTCATGATGAGCCTGAGGCTGAAAATCGGTTCTGATTACGATAGATTGGGTGCGGCATGCTATAGCATCCATCGCATTTCCACACTGGGCATATTGGGGCATGAACGGAGTTTACGGTATACCACCCGCCTGAAAAAGGAACTGGCGGGGACCTAGGGCATTTGTTTCTTAAGGGGGCCAGGCATGGCATGCAGATATGACCGTTACGGAATAGATTTGTGACTGATGACCTCTGTTGACCCGTTCTGCCTGTGCAAGATGTTGATCATTGACAAAGAACATCGACAGCTTACCTACCGCTACTGCCCTTCTCCTCTAAGATCTACAGGGCCTTGGCTGTAGTAGGCTGTCTTCGAATTTCTGAATTGACCCTGATTCTCACTCTTTCAATCTGTATTGGCGACGCCAGAACCACGGCGCTATGAACAGTTCATAAAAGTCGTGGGGAGGCATACATGCATGCTCAACGTCACCGGGCTCCCTGCCCACAAGACCAAACTAGCTTTGCCCATACAATCTGGGTATTTGCGCTTTCCCGAGTAGACTACGAACCGCGGTACAAGACGAAGATATCTAGCTGGTCGACCTCAGCACATGGCTATTCGACTGTGCTGTCATGTCGGGAAGGAATTGGAGCCTGCGTCGACAACCTGAGCCGTGGTCTACTACCATACCCTCCCTAGCTACCTTGATCAGCAAGCCACTTTGTACCGCAAGAGAATCCGCAAGCTCATGCATTGGACATCGAGGTTTGGATACATTTGCTGACGAATCGATGGTTTGTGGAATGATGAACGACACAGCAAGCTTTCACGTGTACCGTCAAGCGGCCGCGGCACGAAAGGGTAAACTGGTTGATCATGAAAGCCATCATATCATTATTCCCGAGGCCCCAGTCTACCGAATAGGAGAGATGAAAACTAGAAAAGAAAAGTAACAGCAGAGCGGGAGGACGCCATGCCCTGGCCCGAAGAAAGCCTTTTATCAGGTCGCCCCCCATGTGCAATGTCGATGTTTTGCCTGGCTAGAGAAGTAGCCAAAGATGAGCGAAGACCGTCTTCGCCTGGTCTTCTTTCTTCTACTTTACGCCATGGCAACGCCCTCGTCATGCCCAGCCCGTACGCGGGTTTCTGTGCCCTCAAACTCGACATCATCGTCGTCGTCCTCCAGGAGATCCTCGTCTCGGAACCCACTGTCCACTTCCATCTTCCGCAGGCGACGGCGCATGGCATCCTTCTTCTGGTGCTGCCACCGGATGAGGGCGGCGGGGGCGTGAACTTTGAAGCCATAGACGCGCGGGATGTACCGCTCGGCGCTCTTGGTAGGGATGAGTGCCGGGTAGGCCTGGAAGATGATGTTGTGGAACGAGGTGCCAAAGTAGGCGCCATCAATAGCGGCGTGGCGTGAGGACTTTGGGTTATAAATATCCTCGCAGCGTGCGCAGTAGAGCTTGACGGGCTTCAGGTTGGGGATGTCGGCGAGGCCCATGGGAAGGAGAGGGTGCGAATGGCACATCACGCGGGGGCATTTTCCAAAGTCGGCCTTCTTGTACTTTTCAAGCTGCGAGCAGCGTTAGTATTGCCATCGTAGTAAAGGTGCAGATGTCCAAGATCCTCCTTCTCATTCTCCATCGGTGCCAGGAGAAAAAGGAGCTGGAGAAATATTCCAGAAAAGACATAGCTTACCATCTTAGCCAAGCCCCTTGTCGTAACGATGAATCGGGCGTGTACGAGACCATATAGATGCCTCGCAGACTTCTCGATCGTCTCCCTCATCTCATCGTCGCAGTCGAGGTCGAAGACATCGGTGATGAGATCCAGCGCATATTGGTAATATTGGACCTCCGTGTTCAGCCCAGTCAAGTTGAACCGATCCGTGAGGTAGTCCTCGTCGATTTCGCAGAAGTATTCGTTGCCACGAGAGGAAATGAACTACAAAGAGCCACGGTCAGCAGGCGATTCATCTGTGGCTAAGTGGCCGTCCTCCGAGGGTATTGCAAGGGCATTCAACAGCGCGCCAATGACCGCGTCGCAGCCCAAAGCTCGCAACATCGGCTCCCTCACTCGTTAAAATTCCCTTCCCTTCGACCGCAGACAGCCCATCGCCAGTCTTTTCGCACTCACCCAGTCTCGCCAGTAGCTCGTGTAGTCACTGTCCGACTCGCTAACGAAGTCATCCATCATGGCGGGAAGAAAGTGCGACTCGTGCTTCGACGAGCGCTCAGATCATGGCCCAGAGGTACGGTCGCGTCGGAACGTCTAGATCGTTCGTGAATGTCGATTAATCGCGGTCGCTCGGCCGTCTCGATTATGGGCGCTGATGTGAAGAAACAGGAGCGAAGGTGTATCTCATTGGGTGGTGATTGACGGTGTTTGTCTGCGCTCATCTGCAGGGCAGAAAGCAGTTGGCGGGGCTGTGGTGCGCCTGGCCAGCCGTGTCTGCCAGGGGTGCTGGAGGGGGCGGGGGAGGTACGTATCTCTTGCACCGGTCATTGCACAACCCAAAGTTTATGCAGGCGCGTCTGCACAAGTGGTAGTGGAACAACAGCGCCTCGTCCATCACGGTCATCTACTTAGAGGACAAGCTCATCATGTTTGTAATGTCACGGGGAATTATTGGCAATGGCACTCATGAACTTCGTTTTACATATGACAGCACCTTCTAGCGGCCGTCTGAACTAAAGCTGGCGGCAGAGCTGACCGAGTGACCCTCTGACTCCATCTCGTCGCTCTGCTCTATATACTTCAACCCCAAGCCATTTACGGCTTTGCTGTGAGGCACATCAAGACGACTCATCAGCCCGGATTGATCCTTGTTACCCTGCATGGAAATATTCACGCCTTCCATCGCTTCACGGAGCGTGTCGCCAGTTTCATCCATTGCTGCCAAGAACCGCGCAAGTTCCTTGCACAGCTCCCAGTCACCCTCCTTCATTGCTCTTGATAGCAATCGTACTGTTTGTTCTGACGCAGATCCAAGCTCATCTAGAGTATGCAAGATTATGAGATAGCCTCCGGCCGTCTTCAACGACCCTCGCTGAAGCGACTCTTCGAAAAGTTCTTGTACCGGCGGGAGGTATGCGAAAAGTGTGCGCCACTGCCGCACCTCCGTTTTCCTTGTACATTGCACCACTATGTCTAGGTACTGCTTAAAAGACGACAAAAGCGAAAGCACCCTTGGTAAGATCGCTTCCTCAGGGCTTGGTCCGGAATCAACTTCCTTATCCAACACCTTGTGAAGCAGTATCTCCAACGCGTGTGCGAAGTATTCCAGATTTTGATACCGGTCTGAAAGCTTGACTGCATCTCCTTTCCGGCCCTCGGTCAGGAGGAATCGCAGAATGTCAGGCAAGAATAAATGTGTCTGTTAATTACTATTAGCAAGGCGTCTCTCAAAAGTAGTAATGGTAAACCAACTCGAATAGCGAAGCGGAAGAAGGAGAAGCTGATGTCTCGTCGCTGTATTAGATCAGCTTCAATTCCAAGGATAATGCCCTTTCCAAGAAGTGTCGAAAGGGGGTAAAAGTCTAGAGGGACCGATATTGTCTTCGGCAGTTCTCGCTGTGCCTCATTCGAAGCCGCTTGCAGCACCTCTTGTATGTCTGCCCAGACCTTGAAGTCCTGGCCATCGAACACCCAGAGTGAATTGCGTAGAGTCACGTCTGCTCCCGCAGGCGACAATTCCTCAGAATGTGTAGCTAACCCATCAAAATGGGGCTGATCCCGCATGCTAACATGAAATTCAACGTTTTGAGCGATGACTTTCATGTCGTACTTCAAATTACCCTCGCTATTGAATGAGGGTTGTAGCAATACCAACTTGGCATCTACTAGGAACAGGACAGACGCCACGGCGACATCTTGTGACGGATCACCGTCAACGAGTTGGCTATCTGGCAAAATCCAGCTCAGACCGCGGACTCTGGCAGGCGAGCGCACGATGCCATGAAATGCGATCTGCCCTAGCTGCACCAATCTAATCGAACCGTTGGTGGGCGCGAAAATGAAGTGGTAGAGCAGATTGTCGTAGGTGTACACAAGTAACGAGTCCTCCCCTGAAGTAGTCACTAAAACTGCTGGAGCTGGTAACCGTTCGGTGTGAAGCACTTGAGAATTGTCGAGCGCCGTTTCTCTCGAGTAGAGGCGCAACTCGTGCGACTTATTAGCCTCAACAGCAGCCACGAGGATATGCTGATACCAGCACATACTGCCCCTGACCTGAAATTCATTTTCCATGGCTTCGTTGGCAAATGTTTTCCATCGACCACTGTTGACACTATAGTGAGCCAAACCTCGGCGCCCAGCCACAGCAACGTATCGACCATCTGGTGAAATGACAGTGTGGCGGATGGGCCATTGCTGAAGTAGATAGCCCGAGGGCACTTTCGTTGTATGCCACAGATGCGGCTCCGCAGAGATGCTGGCTAGATCTGGCAAGTCATATCCGCGATATATCATGACGTTGGTACTCGTCTGCAAAACGGTGCGCATGAGATTTGCAGCATTGTAGTTGCCAACGACTGCGCTTCTCGCCATTTCCAGTACCCATATCGCCTCGTGCTTGCGATGTGTGATGAGGATCTCCGAACCGCTGCCGAGCCAGACGGCGTCTCCAATGCCAGAAATCCAGTTCTCGCCATTGGCCTCAATGATAGCATCGTGTGCGCCAAAACTGTTACTGCCCGGCTTCCCGTAGACGCTCCATGTAGCCCAGCCACTTTCATATCCAGCAAACAAACAGTAGCCGTCAGGTGAGTAGCTGAGCGTCGTGAGTGAGCCAGAAAACGTTGTCGACACTGGAATGGTGTGTGTATGCGAAGGAGGAATATTGCCAGCATAATCTCGAGCCGAGTAAACACGGATGGACCCATCTGCACAACCTACGGCAATCAATGAGAATCTTGCGTTGATGACTGCTTTTCTGGCGGACTCCTCCGGTTCAGCGGGCGTATGAAAGCAGTAGCCTTTGAAAAGCTTCTTTGGGTCAGCCTCTTCGCGAGGATGAAGCCGCTGGACTGCATAGACCTTGCCGTCACTCGTGGTCCAGGTTGACAGGTTCATAGGCCGATCGTGGGTCATCTCGACAACGGTTATCTTCTTTTCTAGCCATCCCATTCGACTGATGATTTCTGTCTTGGTCTGGCTCCCGCTCTGGTCCGGGGTCCATCGGATGCACTGGATGGCGCCTGGTTTGCGCGTGGCAACGACTAGCTCATCATCCAGTGCTAGAGCGCTCTCTATACCAGCATCAACTTTGATGACCATCCTGAACCGAACGCTTACATCACGCACTCCTTGACCCTCGCCAGGGCCCCATAGATACTGGTCTGGAGCTGTACCTCCGGGCTGGCCGTGGTGGTTCTGACGACGTCGTTGGATGTTTGCGTAGCTCGGGAAATACGGTTTGTAGACTTGGGCTTCGGAGTCCATCGCGAGTGAGTATGTGATAAGATAGCCTAAGGTAGTCCGAACCACAAGAATAGCCGAATCAGGTCTCATCAGAAGGTCGACGTTCTCGCCATAAGTCGATAGTGAAGTTTCCGAGCGGACTACCACTGCCAAAATCACAGTGGGCTTGAGAGGAACGTAAGCATGGTCCATTGGACTTTAAAGACAGAGCTATCCAGAGCAAGAACCAACCTTGGCTTGCCATATTGTCATTGAAGTGGAGGTTATCGATGCAAAGAGGTGGCCAGGACGGGAGATGCGCAGTGCGAGGACGGGATCTTTAAGGGGAATATTGACGTTGAGGCGGGGTGATGGCCGACTGGTTTCCAGATCGTGATCTTGATCGTCAACTGGTTGAATGGCGGGCGTCAGTGGCGTCATTGGTGTCGCCAGCTCAAGAGCATCGTGTGGCAATTGTTGCTGGTGAGCATTCCCGGAAGGCGATTCTAAGGCCTCGTCTGTCGGCCGATTGTCGAAGGGATTGGGCAGGCCATCGTGAGACACGACTAAATTGAAGGCAGGACCAGACCTGCTGCTCGTTGCGAAGATTCTCGGGGTTCCTATGGGCCAATACATCTCGACAAGGCCCTATGTAAACGCGTCGATCGTTTCGGTGAGGATGTGCCGTCGCAATGGCAAGGTGTTGTTGGTGACAAACGGGGGTTTCGTCGAGCCGAAGACCAGGTATTCTTTGTCGTCGAGCCGCACAATGTTTTGATCATGGCCGCTGTTGTCTTTCAAACAAGAAACATGGTGTTCTTTTCAAACCAATCGAGGCCCTTGGACGACATCAATATGCGGAGTGGAAAGGTGATTGATCATGCGAATTGGCGGCTTGGGATAAGCATCGTTGTACGAGCTTCTTGTTGCCGGCGGGAGCTTGTGAAGCCACCAGGGGGAGCTTCCCGTCGACAAGGTACCCGACCCGCCTTTTTCGGTCTTTGGCAGCTGCACGCAGCACTCCAGCATGTTACAGGCGCTTTGTTCGGACCGCCTTACCCGAGCATCATTAGATAATCAGTGGCACCGCAAGATGGACTCAACGAGGTGTGCCTTGAGATACTACCTACCTCGTACAGGGGAGTAAGGTACCCAAGCACCTAGGTAGGTGCAGACATCCACTTTGTATACTGCATTCGCTTCTGCGTACTAACGACAACATTGTGAAGTTCATTTTGGGGTTTGGCGTCGACCAACAATAATCAGTGTACGGTCTAGACAGCATTGAGTTTATTCTGCTGAGAGACTCAGTCTGTATGTATTGATCGACTTATATTGTGTACTTGATTTCCGACCACTGCGGTCGACTCACATTGCATACTATCGTATTTTCCAGCTTGCTCCTCCACCGTTTGAGTTGTGCTCATAGGCTGACCCTGACATACCATTTAGGATTGCACTCAACCCACATTGCTGCTCATCATACAAGGTGTTCCTGGCGGGTTGTAATGGTGCCTCCTCGCACAAGGCTGAGCCTCTCCAAGGAGAGGTTTCCGGCTTTTCTGACCAACCTCAAGAGCCAGCCGTACCACGATCCCAGCTCAAGCTCTAGAGGGCACACGTATGACCCCTACCTATGGACAGTCCCGTGGAGCTTTCGACTTGGAATACTGACTGTTCTTGCAGGCTACGATCGATAGCCTGGAACCCATTGGGAACTTTGGTCGCGACAGGCTCCTCAGACAAAACGCTACGCGTCTGTACGTGATGAACGTGATTCGCTTGTCCATGGGGCAAACAGGCTGACATGCCTTACTTCTGTAGGGAATCCGGAGAAGCCAAACGTACGGTTTTCAACTGAGCTAAAAGGACACTCCGCTGCCATTGAAAAGGTTGCATTCAACCCAGTCAAGGATGCTGAGTTGTGCAGTGTAAGCAACGACGGAGTCGTTAAATTCTGGGACGTTCGGTCCAAGACTTGCATCAACGAGATAAGGGGCTTGGGAGATGCCTTCACTCTAGTATGGGCGCCCGACGGACAGTCTCTAGTCGTTGGAAACAAGGTCAGTCACGTTGATTTGGCATTACCTGGGTACACTCTGCTGACGCTCAATCTGCCAGACGGATAACATCTTCGTGCTGTCACCAACACAGTCTACGCCGATATCGTCGCATCAGCAGCCCAGTCAGACCAACCAAATTGCTTTTGACTGGGCCGGCGCTACGATCTTCTTGACAACCGGCGAGGGAAGAACACGGATCTTGACATATCCCGATTTCAAGCCTGCCTTCCAGTTCAACCATGGTGATGAGTCAAAGGAGTTTGCCCTCAACGGGCACACGTCTTCCTGCTTGACAGCCGAGCTACAACCCACAGGACGTTATCTTGCCACGGGAGGTTCGGATTCCATAATTTCTCTGTGGGACACGACAGACTGGATTTGCCAGCGAACCATAACCAGCATGATCGGCCCAGTACGGTCTATCAGTGAGTTGAATACTTATGCTAGTAACTGCAAACAATGTCTAATGGTTATATAGGCTTCACCTTTGATGGCAACTTCTTGGTCGGAGGCAGCGATGAAGGTAAGTTGCCCTGTGCCAGGAAAGCGCAGACACTGACTACATCGCCAGGCTCTGGACTGGATATTCGACATGCAGAGTCAGGAGACCACGTCCACACCTTTAAGACAGCTGGTCCTTGCCCGGTTGTGGCCTGGGCGCCAACGAAATATTGTCTGGCATACAGTGATCTTGGCGTTCTTCGCATCGTCGGGGTGGATGCAGAGAAGAAGTGACGAGACACAATGTCACCATTACGAAGAGGTGGACTGCTCTGCTACGTCCCAGGAATAGCCCTTTCAGCCCCGACTAAATAGATTCTTTAGTCCCATAGGTAGGAATAGAGGCTCGAAAATTTCTTCTCGAAAAGGAAAATACAGGCTCCGGCGTTATGTCTACTAATTTTGGAAGCTGTGTAGTTGTATGTCGACTTTACAATGACACCTCAGGCGTAGGGTTGAGGGAGAGTAGCTTGAGCTGCAAGATCGGAAGACCGAGAAGCTGAACTACTTGTTGCCGGAGTCAGATCGGCCCAACTTGACGCCGGTTAGGGAAGAAACGGGAGTCGGAGGCAGAAAAACGATTGCGGCCCTATCAAGTGTTGTAAGCTATTTTGACAGCTGACTGCAGGACAAGTAGCAGAACCCAGATCAGCAGCACAGCAATAAAGGCCTCCATGATTTCCACGTCCAACGACGGTCTATTTGGGCATGTGGGCTGAGGAGCTTGTGTTCTGGGCCACATACATAGCCTGCCGGGAAACACGCGCCTTATTTCATATTGCCTGACCTCGCCCTCGGATGTAATCCAGATTGGAGAAGACATAAGATGCGACTGATACATTTTGCACGTGGTATTCTGCGCGTCTTTACAGAGCCCATACATATGTAAGTGCCACATGCAGGGAAACAAGATGAAAGATAGAAAGACTTTTGTATTGAGACTCCTCAAGGGAAGCTGATGAGAAGGTGTTGCGACTTGCAGAAAAGTACCCTACGTGCTTACCTACACCTACACATGCAGCGTATGCCACCCTCCCTCACCTTACTTTATTTTGTGTCGCCATTATGAGATGATCACTGCCTTTGGTACAAAGCAGAGGGGTCTGGACGTCATCATTGGCGGACGGCAGATGCTGGGGTCGTGGGCAGCTGTACGGTGTACCGGATTCATGGGCTGCGCAGCGGTTGTCTCCTAGCGCAGTGTGGCTGTGGTGCATGAGATTGTGGTGTGAGTGTGAGTGTGAGTGCAAGTTGCGCGTCCAGACGTTTGCCTAGGAGCGCTGGTGAGAACTCCTCTGAGGCACCTTACCAAAGCCTCGGCCAGCTCTGCTCCCGGGTTTTACCCGGACGTTGGTCATTGAGGTGGTGTACCTAGGTTGACACGTTGACTACCACACTTCCTCTCATGCATGATGTGACCTACCTAACGTACGGTAAAAAATGTCGCGGCATCGTAGGGCAAGGAGGAAGGGTGGAAGGGGGAGTGAAATGTTAACTGATGAATAAAGTTCGTCTTCCAGCTGCCTGAAGAAATTTAGCTCAAGGGTGACAAATGACCGGAGACATAACAGTATTGACCACAATACCTGAGGTGCCTTACACGGTACGGTCGGTACTCGGAGTTATCCATAGACAGCAAGGCCAACCAAAGTAGGTAGCATATGCCTGACGATCAGCACTTCTACTCCGCTCCGCAACTGCGAGTCTGCGAGGGAAAGTGAGTGAGAAATTGGACCTGGATTTCAGTGCCAAATTGCCAATAAGCGTATTCGCTATCTTGGTTGTGCTAGTATCCGACCCGACTCGTGTTTCTCGCTTTTTGCTTTCAACGCAGGCACGCAGGGTCTTTTCCGGCACTGCCCACTAGGCATACATATGTGCAGGGTTTCTCGGTGTCTCACCACTTGATTAGTCGTGGTGGGCATTCACTACTGTACGGTTACACACCGTGATACCTAAGAATTAAGAGGTGAATACTTCATCATTCACGCCTCGAAGTGAGTTAGCACAAAGTGCCCACGAAAAGTCAAATACCTAGGTAGGCAGTACGGTTTCTGTGGCGTCCACCGTCCACGGATTGTCCATCGTGCTAGGCATATCATAACCGCGTACGGAGTATGTAGGTACGGAGCAGATGGAGTGGACATTTGCGGTAGGTACAGAAAGCTAGGGGCCCTTGTCGATGATATACTTGGACGTTATCGAAGGTACGGGATACGGAGCACCTTATTAATCATGGGCTCGGCTGGAAGGGGTATGGCGGCCAGGCCGTGTCGCTACTGTACTCGCAGACTGACTGCCAGACGCTCGAGTCTCGCGCACTAATTGGGCGGTACCTTAGTCGCGACTTGAGGAGCCCTAGGTACTGATGAGGGATGCTAATGGCCAGCCAGCCCCTCAGTAAGTGTGCCCTTGGTTAGGTAGGTACCTTCCCGCGCAGTTTGCAGCTGGTCGCTGGTACCCGCCGTACCGCCATACTACCTTACCTTACCACCTCACCTAACGCTCAGCTGCACCACTGCACCTAATCCTCCGCTTCTATCCATCCTTGCTTCTCAACCCCAAGTCTCGCGCTCTTGACAGAACCCGACACTGCTTCCTTCTCCCCGTCTCCTCTACTTCCTACGCCTAAGGTAGGTACCCTCCACTCTCCTCTCCACCGCCCCAACGACGACCGATAACCCATTCTCCGCCCGCCCTCTTCGCTCTTTCATCTTTGCCTACACTACCTTACCAGTCACCGACGACCTCTGCCTTTTTCCCCTTTCGACTTGGCATATTTTGCAACACCAAACTCCGTACGAACACCCAGAAACCCTTTCTCGACGTCGATCTCATTTCGAAGCGCCCCACGACGTCTAACCCTTTGCGCGACGAGCCTCGACTAGTACGAAACACGACAGTCAGCAGCCGTATCCGTTGTAATTGTGCGCGCGTGCGCCTATGGATCAAGGGCATCTCTACATTCGGTTTCCCCTCCGATAACAAGAGAAATCGCCCTGCTTCGTCCACAATCGTTCTTCGGATTGCCCGACCGTACGATCGACAGATATTGAATTAGTAGTTGGATTCGCTGAGACTTTACCTTCCATCATGTCCTCAAGTACACCCACGCCGCCAGATACAAATGGCGCCAACTCCCACAAACGCCCTCACAGCCCAGACGCCGAATCCAATGGTCGAGAAGGGGCTGCCGATAACAGCAACGTTCCCAAGCCGAAGCGCCTAGCATGTATGATATGCCGGAAGCGCAAGTTGAAGTGTGACGGAGTGCGGCCCAGTTGCAGCACTTGCGCCAGGCTGGGCCATTCTTGCGCCTACGATGAGGTTCGCAGGAAGAGTGGCCCCAAGCGAGGATATGTCAAGGCTCTAGAGGAACGACTGAGTGAGCATTCCCGTCTTTGCGCCTTGCTCTTTGTTTGACCTTTGCCTTCTTCGTTCCATGTCTTCTTCTTCTTTTCAACGTGTTGCTGTCCATCGTCTTGACTGACTGAACGTCTTTATACCCTGTGTAGAACAAGTCGAAACCTTGCTCAAGACCCAAGACCCTCCCCCCGTGCCATCCAATCCCTCCTCCAACATACCTCACAACTTGGACGCAGCTGCAGCGAATCGTAGCCGAACTACTGCCGCTCCGACTAGTTACAGTATTCCTAATCCCACCCTTGGTCTCGGCGGCGACCACGACGTCGACCGATGGCGCTTCACCGGCGAGTCTCCCCAGGCTCAGAATGCGGCTGCCCCTCCTATGGATGATTTCAACTTCAACTCGAGCATGTCAATAGGCATGAGCAACGCCGGGAGCAACTTCACTTGGGAAATGATTGGATTGGGCCTTGAAGAACCTCTTCCTCCACAGGAAACCATCGACGAGCTGTCAGTATCATCACGGTATCTCCTCAAGGCCACTGTACTTACTGACGGATGCTTCGCAGCCACCAAATCTTCTTTGAAAAGGTTCATCCATCCGTGCCTATGATCCACAAGTATAGATATCTAGCAGCCATGAACTTGTACGGGCCCCATCCAGCTAGCCATGTTTGAAGGCGGCTAAACCCATACTGACATGACCGGCAGGGCTCCAAACCAACGACCGCCAGTTGCACTACGATATGCCATCTGGACCTTGTCGTGCTCAATCACTGAAAAATACCTTGACCTCAAAGACTTGTTTTATCAAAGAGCTCGTAAGTATGTCGAGGCAGATTACATCAAAGGGTATGGCGAACACATGATATCTGTGGCTCATGCTCAGACCCATGTGCTGCTTGCCTCATACGAATTCAAGATGATGTACTTCCCGAGAGCCTGGATGAGTACGGGCTCTGCCATTCGCCTGTGTCAAATGTGAGCTCATGATATCTACCAACCTGGACTCGATAGCTAAATTGTGCTCAGGATTGGTCTGCACCGTCTCGATGGTGCCGGATTGGACGTGAAGCAGTGTCTTCCACCGCCAAGGGATTGGACCGAGCGTGAAGAGAGACGACGTACCTTTTGGATGGCATTTTGCGAAGATCGCTACGCAAGTATTGGCACCGGGTGGCCGATGACGGTGGATGAAAAGGACATCATGACAAACCTGCCTTGTACAGAGGAGTCTTTCGACATGAGCCGACCCGAGCAGACGCAGTCGCTGCAAGACTGCATGAGCCCGTCCGGGGCTGGCAAACTCTCCTCTTTTGGAGGCATCGTGCTGATGGCATGCCTCTTTGGCCGCAACCTCATTCACTTGCACCGGCCTGACCCCGATGACCGAGACCACGACCTCAACGGCGAGTTCTGGAAGCGGCACCGTAACATGGACAACATCCTTCTCAACACTTCTCTCTGTTTGCCGTCGCACCTCAAGCTTCCCATTGGTCTGGGCAACCCAAACATCGTCTTCACCAATATGAGCATCCACACATCGACAATCTGTCTACACCAGGCCGCCATCTTTAAGGCAGATAAGAACAAACTTCCGGCCTCGGTCAGTGCAGAAAGCAAGGTGCGCTGTATTACAGCGGCAAACGAGATCGCGAGTATCATGAGAATGATCTCACATATGGATCTCTCAGCGGTATGTCCAGCAAGTGTCTTATGAGACCTGAGGTACTAACATGTCTCAGATGAACCCCTTTATATCCTTCTGTCTTTACGTTGCAGCAAGGGTTTTCGTTCAATATCTCAAGAGTCGTCCAGACGATAGCCAAACAGCCGACTCATTAAGGTTCCTTCTCTCGGCCATGAACGCACTAAAGAGAAGGAACCCTCTCACAGAATCGTTCCTTGTGCAGTTGGACGTTGACTTGGAAGCCCTTGCTATGAGAATACCAAAACTCAAGACAGCGTTTCCCCGCAGTGGTGAAAGCGTGAGTGAACAATGTTGTTGGTGGTCTTACATGTGCTAATCGTTTGACAGCCCGGCTCGGCCAGCGGCAACGGCACCGCCAAGAGTGGTGCTGTGTGTGACGATCCGGAAGGCGTTCAGGGTATCATGTCCTACCGTAACGAGTGTCACTTCATGAAGACTGTTGATGATGA